AGTCGATGGCACGCCCGTTGATGGATATTATGAAACGGAAAATGGGTCACGACGCTGGGTGCTACAATTTCACGGTTGTTTCTGGCATAGGTGCCCTTCGTGCTTTAAAGTAAATCGCGATAGTACGCTTTCGTCTGCGAATCGCGGGGATACGATCGACGCGCGCTACGAACGGACGCTCGCGATGTTATGGCGCCTTCGTAAACGCGGTTACCACGTGATGGAGAAATGGGAGTGCTCTTTCGACCGAGAAATTTCGAATAATAGAGAAATGCAGAATTTTCTTAAGGATCATCCGTTGATAAAGAACACTCCTCTCGATCCTCGCGAAGCGTTTTATGGACGCACGGGAAATATCGTCACGCGATACGAAGTTTCAGGTACGGAAAAAATACGTTACGTCGACATATGTTCTCTGTATCCTTTCGTATTGAAAACCGGTGTTTTCCCGATCGGGCATCCTAAAATTTACGTAGAGCAATAGTGTTCTTCGTTAATCGGGGTATCACCAAATTATAATTTCAACTCGGTCGAAGGTCTCGTGCGATGTAAAGTACTCCCACCATGTGATCTCTTTCATCCGATACTACCGTATCGCGTACAAGGTAAATTATTGTTTGCGTTATGTCGGAGTTGTTACGAAACGGTCTCACAAGTTGAGTGTACTCACGAGAACCCGGTGGATCGAGAATTCGAGGGCACCTGGGTATCTTGTGAATTACACAAAGCCGTCGAGAAGGGTTATCTCGTGACGCATGTGAGCGAAATTTGAGAATATAAAGTTGCGCGATACGATAGCGATACTCGTCAAGGCGGACTGTTTGCCGAATATATTAATACCTTTTTGCAATTAAAACAAGAAGCGAGCGGCTGGCCAAGCGAATACAGGGAAGACGCTGACGATGATGCTAAGGAGCGTTACCTTCGGGAATATGAGGAAACCGAGGGTATCACACTCGACAGGCGAAACATCGCGCGCAATCCCGGTTTACGTTCGGTCGCTAAGCTTTGTTTAAATTCATTTTGGGGAAAATTCGGCCAACGATCCAATTTGCCGAATACCGAAATTATAAAATCTCACCAGCAATTTATGACTTTGCTTACGAGTCCTGAGCACGAGATAACCGGTATATTACCCGTAAACGACGAGGTAATATATGTTTCGTGGTGACTCCGAAAAAAGACGGTCGTG